CCCCCCCGAGGGTCCACCCCCCCTCCCCGGGGCGGGGCCCCCCCAGACCCACCGGTCTGCCAGGAGGGGGTGCGGAACTGGGAGAGGAGGGAGGAGGCCGAGGGGCCGGGCTGGGGCCCCCGCGACTCCAGCGCCGAGATGAGGTTCATCACCGAGGCGTCGGGGGCCGCGCCCCCCGCGTGGTGCAGCCCCGTCTCGAAGAGCCCCGACAGCCCTGCGGGCACGGGACAGCTTGGGGACATCGTGGGGACAACAAGGGGACATGGGGACAGCTTGGGGACACCGTGGGGACAACGAGGGGACAGCAAGGGGACACGGGGACAGCTTGGGGACATCGTGGGGACAACGAGGGGACAACAAGGGGACACGGGGACAGCTTGGGGACATCGTGGGGACACCACGGGGACAGCAAGGGGACACGGGGACAGCTTGAGGACATGGCAGGGACACCAAGGGGACACGGGGACAGCTTGGGGACACCGTGGGGGCACCATGGGGACAACAAGGGGACACGGGGACAGCTTGGGGACATCGTGGGGGCACCATGGGGACAGCAAGGGGACACGGGGACAGCTTGGGGACATTGTGGGGGCACCATGGGGACAACAAGGGGACACGGGAACAGCTTGGGGACACCGTGGGGACAACGAGGGGACAGCAAGGGGACACGGGGACAGCTTGGGGACATGGCAGGGACACCAAGGGGACACGGGGACAGCTTGGGGACACCGTGGGGACAACGAGGGGACAGCAAGGGGACACGGGGACAGCTTGGGGACATCACGGGGACAACGAGGGGACAACAAGGGGACACGGGGACAGCTTGGGGACATCGTGGGGACAACGAGGGGACAGCAAGGGGACACGGGGACAGCTTGGGGACATCACGGGGACAACGAGGGGACAACACGGGGACATGGGGACACCACGGGGACACCAAGGGGACACCAAGGGGACACGGGGACAGCTTGGGGACATCGTGGGGGCAACGAGGGGACAACAAGGGGACACGGGGACACCTTGGGGACATGGCAGGGACACCAAGGGGACAACAAGGGGACACGGGGACAGCTTGGGGACATCGTGGGGGCACCACGGGGGCAACAAGGGGACACCCGAGGACACGGGGACAGCTTGGGGACATCGTGGGGACAACAAGGGGACAACAAGGGGACACGGGGACACCACGGGGACAACAAGGGGACACGGGGACACCTTGGGGACACCTTGGGGACATCATGGGGACACCAAGGGGAGACCTCGGGGACACGGGGACACCTTGGGGACACCACGGGGACACCAAGGGGACACCAAGGGGACACCAAGGGGACATCAAGGGGACATGGGGATGTCTTGGGGACACCTTGGGGACACCAAGGGGACACCTTGGGGACACGGGGACACCATGGGGACACCCCGGGGAGACCTCGGGGACATGGGAACACCATGGGGACACCAAGGGGAGACGTCGGGGACACGGGGACAGCTTGGGGACACCAAGGGGAGACCTCGGGAACACCACAGGGACACCACGGGGAGACCTCGGGGAGACGTCGGGGACACAGGGACAGCTTGGGGACACCAAGGGGACACCAAGGGGACACGGGGATGCCTTGGGGACACCTTGGGGACACCATGGGGACACCAAAGGGACACGGGGACACCTTGGGGACACCACGGGGACAACAAGGGGACATGGGGACAGCAAGGGGACATGGGGACACCACGGGGACACCAAGGGGACATGGGGACAGCTTGGGGACATGGGGACACCAAGGGGACACCAAGGGGACATGGGGACAGCTTGGGGACATGGGGACAC